CAAACGCACCACGGTGATCTGATCAGCCCGAACGGGACTGTCCGGCTCACTCTCTTCAAGTCTTGCCCATGAGATCTGTCCACACGTACACACATACACAATCACTGTCACACACACACTCACACACACACACACACACACACACACTCACACACACACTCACACTCACACACACACACACACCTGTTGCTTGGGGTGCCATTTTGCTGGTGTCTTGCCCAATTTTCCTCAGGCCAGCATCGCTGCGTTCAAAACCAAAACCAAAACCATCATCGTTGTCATCATCACCTTCATCGCCATCTTCCTCGTCCCTATCACCCATCATCGAACACCCAACCAGTTGGAAGGAGCGCGATGACGATGCCCAACCTCGCAATGACGTGAGCCGCATTCCTCCTCCTACTCCTGCTGCTGCTGTTTCGCTGACAACATGCGCTATGTTTCCAGTGGGTGGACAACCCACGCATTGTTTCCCACACGTTCTCTCGCGTGCTCATATGGCATGGCTGTTGATGTTGATGTTGACGCTGACGCAGATGCTGTTGTTCACTGACATCTCGTCCGCCAACACTGTTGGCCTCACTGCAACTGCTGACGACAGCGCCAATGGACGGCTGACACAGCGCCGGTGCAAGCGCCGCGCCAGCTCTTGGCACTGCCCAGCATCCTTTTGCCCAGCACACGGTGAGCATCGTTGCGCCTGCGTTTGCACGTTGATGCGTGCGCGTGATTGGGTGTGTGTGTGTGTGTGTTGAGGGAGAACCCAAATTCAATGTGAGCAGTGAGGAGTGAAAATATCCAAGCCGCACGGCGTCTTCACACTGCTGTGCATTGTGCACACATCCTATCCTTGTCTATGTCTCGGTGTGTGTCTCTGTCTCTGTCTCTCTGTCTCTCTGTCTCTCTGTCTCTCTGTCTCTCTCTCTGTCTCTCTGTCTCTCTCTCTGTCTCTCTCTCTCTCTCTCTCTCTCTCTCTCTCTCTCTCTCTCTCTCTCTCTCTCTCTCTCTCTCTCTCTCTCTCTCTCTCTCTCTCTCTCTCTCTCTCTCTCTCTCTCTCTCTCTCTCTCTCTCTCTCTCTCTCTCTCTCTCTCTCTCTCTCTCTTGCTCGATTTCTCTCCACTGCCAAACACATTGCCACCTCCTTCCCCTCCTCTCCGTGTAACCCCGCGTCTTCTTCATCACTCACCACCAACCACGCCCGCGCCCTCTCTCATCCTATCCTCTTCCCTCCCACCTTTCACAAACGCCCGCACGCCCGCTCACATCTCATCTCCTTTTCCCTCAACTCACACTCACACACACTCACACACATACGCATGCGTGCACCCCAATCACTCACACACTCACACGCTCTCTGCTCCTTGTCCTCTCACATTCACACACACATGCACACTCTTCACTGCCCCACGCTGCTTCACTTGCCTTTTCCTTCGCCAGCATGGCGCCCACCGCGAACGTCAGCTTGCCCAACTGACGCCCAAGTTGCAGCACAGGCGCGCGAGCATCAGCCAGGAGACGGCGACCATCAATAACCGTGAAACGCCCTGGATGCGCCGCGAGATGGAGCTTCAGGTGCAGCAGGACCGCATTGAACAAGATGCTGCGCATCTCCTCCACAGGCAGCAGCAGCACTGGTACTGGCAGCAGCAGCAACACCATTGGCAGCAACAGCAACACCATTGGCAGCAACAGTGGCAACAGCAACAGCAACAGCGGCACTGGCAGCAAGCCATCGTGTGGGCGCAGCAGAAGGTGGTGCGCCACCTCCCAGAGCGCGGCCTCATCTGGGTAGCACGTGTGTGTTCCGATGTACCGGTACAACAGGTGGTGAGCGGTGATGGCTGATGCGCACCGGCCCACCGCTACCTGCTGTCATCTGCTCGTCGCATAGCTTACAGCAGGGCCATGGCAGAGCCGTCTCAATTCTGCGCATTGTGCATGCATGCATGTGCGTGTGTGTGGTCGCACGTCTGTGAGTAACATTTCCAGACCCCTCGCCATTCCCTGTGATATTGTGTGTGAACCAGTAAAGAAGAACACCAAACAAACAGACCAGCCCCAGGTAAGACAGCCGTGCACACACACACACACACACACACACGCATGCAGCCAACCAACAAGCAGCTTCACCTCATCTTGTCCTTCTTGTTTGCCCCCTTAGCTCAGGCCCCATCGTCCCCATCGTTCTTCACGAACATTTTCCACCAATTTTCCATACAACAAGGAGGTTTGGTGAGCGTGTGCTTGCATCGGAGGGAAGCAGCGCGAGTGCAACATCGATGCATACGCACACACACACACACACACACTCACATTCACCTGTTCTCTTCCACAGTTGCCATCATCTCTTCAGAAACGCACGCACACCCACAGATCACAGCATCGTCGCACCTTCGAAGCAGGGCACAAACGTGAGACATACGACAGCAACGGGGATATGTGTGAGAGACACTCAAAGATGCAGACATCGGTGGTCCTAAAGGCAACATTACCACGCATGCGTCACGAATTACATACGTCCACACGCACACACGTACACGTACATAGGTGCACATGCACAAGTGTACATGCATACAAACACATGTACGCACACGAGTGCTCACATTCATCATACCTTGCGTGTAACACTCCTTCCAGGAAGAAGAAAGCCATGGACAAGAGCACGACGAGGACCAGCGCAACAGGCGTGCCAGATGAGGCAACGGCACGTCTCCGCGCCATCACAGTGGAAGCCATCCAAACCCCATCGCCGCCAACACCACCTCGCCCCGTTGGTGGCAGTGAGCCTGCTGATGCGGTGCCGGCAGCGCAGCTGCATTTCCGACGTCTCAACGCAGCACGCCAGCCGCAAGGTGAGATCCGTACCACAACGATGATGGAGGCGATTGTGGAGGCGATGATGGGAGGTAACCAAACATCGTCCGTCCCAGACGTCACTGCCACCGCCAGCAACAACAGCAGCATCACTGACAGCGGCATCGGCAGTTACAGTAGCATCAGCAACGACAGTGGCAGCACTGACATCGTCAATGACAGTGACGCAGCGACCGACACCAGCACGCAGGAAGAGCAGCAGCCACGGTAAATCATCAATGCGTGCGTGCTTGCTTGTGCTTGTGTGCGCTAGGCGGGGTGAGAGGTTGTTGAGAGGTGGGGCTCAGGCGTGGAGGCCAGAGGTGAAGGAACCGTGTACGTGGCATATTCCTGTGCTGTTGCATGCGCTGTTGCCCCAAAGCATTCACGGCTGACCCGTGTTGCTGTGGCCTGTGGATGTTTGGTTGCAGCTTCCACGTGCTTGGAGATGAAGAAGAACAGCGCATCTCACACGCGCTCGCCAATCAGCACCAGGTACGACGCCTGCTTCTGGCTAGCAAGCAAACAAACACACACACATACATACACACAAACACACATGTGCATATGAGCATGCACATGTGAGCATAATCGTGCTTCAAGTACACACACGCACACACGAACACAAATGAGAGGTGACGGCAAGCCAACCCAGCCATTCCACTCAACGCAATCAATCACACTACTGCCGCGCATGCTCACCTCTCGCTGTGTCACCCCGTGTGCCTCCATCGTGCTTGAGTAGCAGCAGTATGATGGCCACCACTTCCGCCACCATCGCAACCGCCGCCGCCATCGTCACAGGCACCACCCGCGGACCCGTCCGTCCTTCGCCTCCATGCACCCGGTCATGGCCCAGGCCTTGAGCGGCATGCGCGAGATGTGGTCGCCATGGCACCAGCACCAGCAGGAGGAGGATACGCGCGGTCACAATGACGACACGGCGCTGCTGCTGTTGGAGGAGACGTGGTGCCAGGACTCATGCAGCCAGCCACGGAGCATCCCTTGGACATGATGACGATGATGATGATGATGACAACGCAACACCAGCAGCCGTATGTAGAGGCAGTGCACGGCCCGTGGCACACAGACAACGTTGATGGTGGATACGAGGCCGATGAGGAAGACGAAGACGTCAGCGACGACAGCGATGATGATGAAGAGGAGGAGGAGCAGCAGCAGCAGCAGGGGACGAAAGAGCAGGAGTGAAGGGATGCGGAGGGGCAGAAGTGCTGGGATCATGGCTGCCACTCCCTGCCTATTGCCTGTTGCCTGCTGGCAGTGGCGTTTGTGTTGTCCCTCCAAATGGGTTCATTTGCGTGCGCGTGGTTGCTGTTGTGGTTGTTGCCTCTGATGAGGTGTGGTTGTGGCTACAAGCGCACCTTGCACCAATGTTAGTGCTGGTTGATAGGTTGATGGGCTGATGGGCTGATGGGTTGATGGTGCCCTTGGAGCTGTCTTTCGTTGATGGTCGTGTTCCTCTGTCCACGCTGCTTCGGTTGGTCTGTGGCGCCGTGCATTGTGGTTTTAGGTGATTGTTCACAGCAGAGTTTTCGTCGCTTTGCTGCTTTGCTGCTTCTGTTGGTGTACATCGTGGTGGCGTGTGCTGGTGGCCAGTGGAGCCGTTGGCTTGGGCGTGGTGCTGCCGTCTTCTGCAGCTGCTGTGTGCCTGTGAATAATACAAACATGCCAACAACAGGGCCTGTGAGTGGTCATATAAACATGAGCATTCAGAGGGACAGGTGTTGAGATTGGGTACAAGCACGCACCAAAAATTTCTCGCACACAAAACACACTGGGCAAACACACACACACACACACACACACACACATACAAAAAAAAAAAAAAACAAAGGAACGACACACATGCACACACGTATGCACGCACGTACACACACACACGCACACATGTACACATGCACACACCTACCTGCTGCATTGTCGCGATCTTCGGGTGCAACTCCCACAAATCCTACCAGACACTTGGTCCACAGACCCCACGTGCACACACACACGCACACGTGCACACACGTGCACACGTGCACAGATCATCACCGCTGTCGCTACTGTAACGCCCTGCGCGTCAGCCGCCACACATGGACGCCAGCACCGCCACATGCCGCGTCTGTGGTCCAGCCATTCGCGCCCCTACGCCATGGTAGTGGTCATTGTGGCCATCGTGGTGGTGGACACGGTGGTGGCCGTCGTCGTCACATGATCAACGTCGTCTCTCCGATGAAGAGGAGGGAACGGGTGGCTGCAAGCACTGAGGGTACTGGCCACCAAGAAAGCGTGATTCACGCGGGAAATAAGACACGGCATCCCCAAACAGAAAACGTGCCCGTTTTGAGTGACACATTCAAACCTCGCGGCAAAACTGCAACCACAAAGTGAACGACACCAGGTAGTGAGTGAGTGAGTGAGTGTTGTGTGTGTGTGTGTGTGTGTGTGTGTGTGTGTGTGTGTGTGTGTGTGTGTGTGTGTGTGTGTGTGTGTGTGTGTGTGTGTGTGTGTGTGTGTGTGTGTGTGTGTGTGTGTGGGAGAGCGGGAGAGAGAGTGAGTGTGTGAGTGTCTGCCTGCCTGCCTGCCTGCCTGCCTGCCTGTCTGTCTGTCTGTCTGTCTGTCTGTCTGTCTGTCTGTCTGTCTGTCTGTCGCTCTCTCTCTCTCTCTCTCTCTCTCTCTCTCTCTCTCTCTCTCTCTCTCTCTCTCTCTATCTATCTATCTCTGTTTGTGTGTGCGCGAGCGAGTGAGTGACGCCAGGGTAAGCAAGTGTGCGCGTGAATGTCTGTCTATCTGTGTCTGAGTGCGCGTGGTGTGGTGTCTGTGTGGTTTGCTCCATTGGTCGTGGGCATGTCTCTTACCTCTTGGAATCACATGTGTCGTGGCCGTATAGCCTGGCCTGCTGTCTGTGGTGCGATTTTTCAGCAGGATAGCTGCAACATGTGCTCACAGTATAGCAGCGGTGTGGATCTGTGACACCAGCATCACCAGCA